GTCTCTGTGAACCCCATGCTCGTGCAATGCTCAATACCAAGAGGGCCTCACTTGCAGCGTTTTCGACGGGGTTCGTTTATTCATCGTTCGGTGCTACTAATCCGTACCAGCATTCTCGTTCACAACTCGCGAAACGTGCCTTTTGAAAAGAACGATGCATATTCTATCTCCATGCACACTTTTTGAATCAGACCATCTCGCATAAACTTCTATTTTTTTATTTCTATGAGTTTTTTTTGGTTAATTGCCGGTCTTTTGCCAAGACCTCCGTTGTTTAATTAAGGATGGGCGAAGGAACTGAATGGGTTATGGGGGTGTCGCAATTACAAGAAACATGGAAACGACCGTATCTAACCGATGCACCGGTCCTCCTAGTCGTCTGTCATGAGGTAACAGATTACGAGCTTATTTTTTCTTTATTATTATATTTTCTTTCTAAAATGATTTGATTATTTTTTCTTTAATAATTTTGTAATCGTGCTGAGCTAGCACATTCAAAAAGTCACCCTAGCTAATGGTTCGTGAGACGTTGTAAGCAGTCACAACTTTTTTTTTTGCTGCATTCTCGCTCGCATTCATATCGAATGTAAGAAAAGGGGTTCATGAAAAGTTGGTCCGTTCTCTGTTATTAATAACTTTCCCTATTGGTGGTGTATCATTTCCACTTTCAGCTGGACATTTTCGAGTCGAACATCTCTTGAACCGCACAGGACAAGGTTCAGGTTCACTGCGGACGTTTTTTGGAAAAAAATGAAATTGGACACTGCCACATCTGTTCGAGACTACCTCTCAAACGGCAAAAAGTGCCCCGGCACGTGGCACGCCTTGAAACCTTAATTAATTGCCAGTGCTGCATGGCAGTTGTCTCTTTACATTGCAGTCCACTTGAAGACGAACGGTACACCCACCTCCGAGGACGGTCTCGCCATGTGCGAGGTAAATGGGTTCGAAGCTGCAGTATTGTGCTACTTTCTCACTCAATAGATGCACTGCAGAACGGAGTCTGAATGATGGTGATGTTCGAGCTGAGGTTCTCCGTCTATCCTCAAAAAGGCAGGCAACGCTGCATCGATGTCAAGATCCCCCTGCGAAACACGCGTTCAAGGGAGGGAAATGGTCAGAAGAGGGCGCACACAAGTAGCGTGCTTGACCATGTTAGGCGTGTATCTGGCGCGAGCGTTTTATGGAGACGACACCAGGGTGACAATTGTCACTCGAGGACGACACTGTCTCCACCCCCGTTTCCGTTAACCTCACCGGCGAAAGCGGGATTCTTGTCTGAATAACAGCGTGAACTGATTGTTGAAAGGCTTACGCAATGCGCAAGCCGGACCAGGATCAACAAGAAGGGAGGTGCGCAGTTTTGTCTTTTAAAAAACTTCAAAGCATCAAACATCCATGAACAACGAAAAAAACGTCCAAGGAGTGGCGATAGTACTAACGACCCACCTTGGTGTGAAATCTGATCCTTGTCGTGTTTACAAAAGATGACGGGAAGACAATGAGTGATAAAAAGATAAGTTAGCCACAGAAAATAGCAGTAATTGCCATGCATATCATCGCAATGCCTGAAAATACTAAGAGAGCATCTTCTACGGTAACGAAGAACGAAAAATGTCTCGCAGAAGAGCATACATCTTCACATTTGAAGGCAGACCCTGCGATTGCATACTCTGGGTAATGGCGTTTAATAAAAAAACCTATACTCGCCAAGTGACTCTCCAGAGAAGAAAAAACTAGAAAAAGTTCTGGAGGACGCCACAAGAACCCCCCTGGCAGCCTCATTGTACTAGTTCACCCGACAAGAAGATAGCCTTCGAGTTTTGGTGGAAAGGGCGAATAGAGAGGCGTCAAACTGCCACTTATGAGAACGCCTTCGTTATTTCCTGTAAAGCCCCAAATGTGAGCCCATCTTAGATACTGGCCGGACTACTTGTATAGGGGAAGGCCCTCACGAGTTTCTTGAAAGCGGGGACTGTCTTTAACTCAACAGTTTGGGGCCACAACAGAAGCCTTGACGAGTACAGGTAGATATGAAGAGTTGTTTGATTGAACAAACTCTTTTTGAAGTTGTTTTCTAGCTTTCAGGCTTCATATGTAAGGCAGCGCTCGGACTTCGCGACGGAGTCGAAAGCACGCGCGATCGAAGCGCTGCCGTCGAATCGTCCTGCGCGGGGCGGGCGGGGGGCGAACGCTGGCCTAACATGGAATCAGGGGGTTGTTATGCCATATTTTTTGTAGCTGCTCGTTAGTGCAGCGGACGATTGTAATTCGGCGCCCGTATAGAAAATGTACTGATTTGAAAAGGTTCATTTACTTGCACATACGTACGTGGGCATCCGTAGGGCTTGATATATTTTTAATTTTTAAGATTTTCAAAACGGTGGGAAGTGCAAGAGTACGACTATTCCACTACAACGAAATCAGCACTGCTATCGCTGTTGGAATGATGCTGTCCGCAATACAGGTATCATTGATATTACCCAGTTTCATCAGGGGTGGGGGCATTTTGTGGCCTCTATGAAAAAAAGAAATCGCGCAAAGATAAAGCTGGTCACTATTTTGTATTTTTAGGAGAGTTTGCTCTTCACAAAAATCCCCAAAAAACCCGTGATACGTTCACAGGAGTAAACATAATGTCATGCTCCCCGAGGCTGGATTGCAACATCTTTTTTGATTATGGATTAATCATTTGCTTTGAAGCCCCGTGGATAGGTCTGCGAGCACTGAATGGGGCGCTGTAAGTTGAAACCAATCGTTATTATCGAATGGTTAAAGGCATACGATAATTTGGCACCCGGCCTAAAATACTAGCAGGGCGCTAAATAGTGGAAAAATGACGAAGGAACGGAGTGAAACGCTGAAAATCTTGCGAAGAAAAAGCCTTTGTTGTCAATGACTCAAAGATCAATTTCGGACGAGTTTTCCCATAGGCATTTCTTTCAAATAACGCTACCGAAGATATGGAGGATATGTATGTACTCATATACCCATGCAGCGCAGCCGCCGCTCAATACCGATCCCTTCCCTTCATAATCTGCTTAGCAAATTGATCAATCCGAGCGTCAGGAACGGTCGTCCATTTGGGCGTGGTGGGGGGGTCGGTATGTTGTAGCTTGAAAGGGCCTTTGTAAGGGTACCTTCCTAGGAGAGGCGCTACGCAGCGCCTGCTCAGGGGCGTGGAATTCCATCCCGCCTGGCATATTAATCCTACTCGTTTTTTAGGGGCTTATCGTGCCAACGGACTTGATTCTTGAGTTTAGTTAAAGGCGATCACTAAAGTTAACAGTAAAGGTCGTGGGTGATTGGGACAAGTCAGAGATCGGATAACGAAAGTTCTGAGCTAACAACATAAGAAAAGGAAGCCTTATGGGAAGGGAGGTTAGAAGAGGACTTGAAAGTGAAGCTGAAAAAAAAGAGAAAAAACAAAAATAAAAACTTAAGAGTGATGTTCCACTAATGAATTCAAATTGGCCACTGCTAGCGCCTGGTTTTTTCGTATTTTAAATTGCCGCAAAGTATGAACGAGACCAAATAGCTGATGTCATCGTGGTTGTTCATTTGATTTGTTTTTTCCACTTTGCTTGAAGAGATGAATTTTTTGCTGTCAGTTCAGGACAATCTCTGTCTTATCATTTTCTTCTGGAACTGATTAATTCATTTCAAACTAACCATGAGTCCTATGAAGCTATTTTGAGAGTGAAACTCCAAATCACAAAAGAGCACCTTCCCTTAGTCGTTTGCTCCAAACATCTGCTATCCATTCACTCAACGAATCTTCAGTCATAAAGCTATTCTCCAGTTATTGCTCTTTACGATCATATCTGCCTGAGATACATTTTCGAATTCAACTCTCCAGAAAGAAACAATGGGTTTCAACTTAGAGTTCCTGTTCGCTCGTGCGGCGATCAGACCTCGCACAGACTTATCTACTAGTGGACTTACAGGTGTTCGCTGCGGACGCTGTGCTGTGTCGAGGGGAGGGTGGGGGAAGGGCTAGGTTACTGCAAACCCCAGACAGTTTTCCACCAATTGTTGCCGCTACCCAGCGTCCACAATTGGTGGAGAACATGCTGGGGTAATATGAACGAGACCTAATAGCTGAAATCTATCGTTGGTTGTTCATTTGTCTGCTTTTTACTGTTGCTGGCAGCCCAGCTCTAAACCCAAGCCCATCTGACAGCGTCCGCAGCTAACAAGACTGTATTAACGGGACATCAGTATAGTTGCAAATAAGATGGCGTAACCATTGTCATAACAAGGCTTTCAGTACGTTGGTCTCAACACGGTCGTGACTTCTCCGCTGAATGCAGGTTCACAAATTTCGCGTCTTCTACGACGGCCGCCTAATGAGTGTGTGAGTAATGACTCATTGTTCTGAGCTTACTCAGTGTGGTACTGGCCACAGTGATAATAATAATAATAGGACATAAATAAGATAAGTGTACTGTTTCAGGTATTGCTTCTTTTACCCTTGGGTTATGCCGCAGCGGATGCCCTTGTTCCCGATTTGAAGCGGAAGCCTGTGGAGCAAATTATCAAGTTGTATTGAAGTTAATTGGTTGTTAATTGATCTCATTTAGTGTTCGCTTTTCCAAATTTATTTTCTGCGGGAGTGCATCTATTGCTTGAAGGGGAATGGTGCAGCTGAAAATCATGCGCAGTTCAAGTGCCCATCCGAGGGGGGTGTCAGGGGTGTTGGAATGCAGCCATGTTACTTTATTGCTGTCTGTTTTTCTAAGATTAATCGCTATTCGATCACTTATTGGATGAAAGGCCGCCCACTGTGGGACTCATGTCCCCACGCCACTTGCCACCTTCTCAGCTGATTGCGGCGTTGCAGCTATATCAGCACAGAGTGTTTCTTTCTTATGAATATTGTTGTACAGGATTGATTAGTTTCGTTTAATAAGGGAGATTTATTTTAATCAGTGTTCACGGGATATTTTCGTCAGCGAGACAGAGTTACATGTTGACATCCCACAGAAGAAAGTCGTGAGTAGAGGGAAGAAACGTGTATGGGTATGCTTAGCGGCCTCGCCCTTCATCAACATAAAAACGAGCACTTCCAATACTTCCAATTTTCGTCTGGAAAGGCCGCCAGGTCGTTATTTATGGTGTTTATCAGTTTTTCTTGCTGGTTGCGACCCGACAGGTCGCGGATATGCCATTTTCACTTTGAATTCACCACTTTTCAAACCAAATCCACCATTTTTCAACGCAAATTCACCACTTTTCAAAGCAAATTCAATACTTTCCAAACCAAATTCACCACTCTTCTAGAACAAGCAGTTCGCCAACCAGATCACGCCAGACGTCACCGCGATCCCTGCCCCGACGGTCACGCCTACTTGTCAGCGCGGACATAGATTTTCAACACATGACTGACTCCGCCCGTACTTTTTTTGGACTTCCCCGTGGCCCCGAACACTATGACAGGCTCCGCCCACTTTGGAGAAGCCCCGCCCACTTTTCAAAATGGTGCAGATCGGCAGTATAGAGCCTTGGCTTGCATGCTAGGGTCTCGTTCGTCACTCGGAACAAGAAAATCAGGCAAAGTTTCTTCCCGAATGATGAGCAATACCTTGTCCTATTGCTTAGCCATGGGCTCTACATTTCCGACTTGCAGCAATTCTGAGAAGTGGACGGGGCTTCTTCAAAGTGGGCGGAGCCTCTCATAGTCTGCGGGGCTTCACGGGCATTCCAAAAATAGAAAAATTTTGAAAAAGTACCGTGATTCCGCAGAAAGCAAGTGAGCGTAGCCAATGGGGCGGAGCCTAAATTGCCGGTGCATGAATGCGCGTCTACGAGTACATTCGTCGTGCGGAGCCGTTCCAAAGTTCTGTAGCCTCCCACTTCTTGTCGTAATTGTGTCGCACAATACCGCAGAGTTCTGTTATCCTTGCTAGCATTGTGATTGCAACGAAGTCGGAGCCGAAACATACCCTCAGTTATTAGACGTAGGATCCGAGAGCTGTTGGCCGATATTGTGAGTGTGGCGTGAAACGGAACTACTACATATGGCGAAGTCCTGTGTTTATGCAAGCACCAAATGTTGTAATCAACAAAAGCAGGACCCCGTCAAAACTTTCTGCGAAGCTACTGCCTTGAAGCAGATATGAAGGTTTATTAAGCCCCGGCTTGAGCGAATAGGTGAGAGTGCAATTTTTCTCGAAAGTCATCCACAGGGCTCATTAAGGAGCAGAGAGGGAAACGTTGGCTCTCCTGATGGTCGAACTGGTACCTAAAACTACTTTCCAAGTGTTCAGCATACGTTTCAAGAGAAAGCAAAACTACGAAATGCATCAAGGTTCCGAACCTTTTTCTCACTACTACTCACCTACCTGCTACGCCATCGAGCCACGCTATGAGGTTTGTTGTCAGGTCGGATTTCACAAGTCAAAGTATGGGCAGGGGACCCTTCGCTTCGCATCGCTGTACATGGCAGGGACTCTCGGCACGCTGGGCTGCGTTCGAGAGAGCACACAAACATGCGAGCAAAGGAAAATGGGTATCTATCGAGAGAGCATTATTCATACTCAAGTTACAGGTCTGTTTGTGCTTGGCATCTTTGAGCGGCAAAGTGGAACACCATATGCCTTTTCCGGACCTTCATCGTATCTATGATAGGAATTTTAACTTCCGGGCAACCGCAAATGTGACACGACGAGCCTTTTTTTCACGACTCGTGTTTTAGGCGACGCATTTTCTCCGTTTGAGGTATGTTGTATTTCAAACAAGTGAGCCATTATGAATGAAGTGTGCCAACATTGCAAGGGACGAATAGACGAATATTGTATCTCACGCGCTGTTAACCCTTTACTGCCTCGATATTCGGGAATCAGATGAAATTTTTCTTATTTTTGTGAATTTCTGGCATGTTTGCTAAGACTTTCACACGTACCCTGATTTCTTTAACATGATCATTCTAGCCGCTTACTCGAAACCACCTGGCGTCAGAGCCAAAATAACGAGCATAAAGCCGCTGGCGCAAACATAACATTACCAACTTCGATGATAACCTATTCCCAGGGTAGTTTGACCCCTGAACACGAATATCACACCATTAGAAAAACGGCACCACATGCATGTTTCATCCCTGCGCGTGTGGCGCGGACTCCTTGCGTCTCGTGATAAGCGGTGTGTTGAGGACAGCCCCCGCGCTCGAGTAGTACATGGTCGTCCTTCCTTGTGCAAGTAGCGCAGCCCCCAAGCTAGAGACTGTCCCACTCTCGCAACTCCACAGCGAGCGAGGAGCTACAGCTGCTGAAAGTTCTAGTTCTAACGCCCGCCCAGTTGGACCGCCCACTTGCTAGATGCCCTCTGACGGAGGGCCGCTCAGTTGTTCTTTGTTGGGGCGGCGGGCATTAATCGGAATTGCATGCCCTTTTTGCTGACCGCGCTCGTGCCCATGAATGATTCTGCTCTCCTTTATTACATTTTATTTATTAGGAGCACATACAGTCAACTCCAACCCATCTTGCAAGGTAAAACGCGTAAAAATCACGAGCGACCCAATTTTCGTGGTGCAAAAGCTCGACGCACCACACTACACTAAAAGATGCACGCTACCGTAC